AGGGGGAGAAGGGGGAGATGTAAGGGGGTTGGGATGATGGATGGGTGGTGGTGGAGACGTAGGGTGGGGGGGGGGAATGCGAAGGAGGGGACAGGATGGATGGGTGGAAGGTGGTGGTTGTATATATCAAATCGAATCACGCGTATGGAATGGATGAGCTGAGACCAAAGATAAGGGAAGTAGTAGCATGTTGAAGCCACCCACATCTCCTCCCATCCCCTGCTCAACCCCCTCAAAAATTCACAACACTAGCCTCCAGCACCCCCTCCTCCCCAATCAACGCCTTGAGCACATCCTCCCCAACCATCTTATCGACCCCCAAAATCATCAACGCCTCATTACTCCCCTCCCTTCCTCCCTCCACCCCATTCCCATTTCCATCCCCTCCATTCCCTCCGTTGCCATTCCCCTCAGCCAACCGTTCCTCCACCTCCCCATCCAACGGCGCCACATTCATAAACTCAATATTCACCCCCGCCTTCCCCAACAAATTCCCCACATACCCAATCTTACCCACCGAATCAAAGTTGCGACAGATGAGCAGCGTGCCACGGGGCACGAATTCGCCTTTGAATTTGTCGAGGCGCGAGATGAAGGGTTTGTTGCCGGAGACGAAGCCTTGGATTATTTGGTCGGAGGAGGAGGAAGAAGAAGAGGAGGAGGAAGAAGGGAGATTGGTAGGTTGGAGGGCGCGGGCAGCGGAGGGAGATGCGTTCCGGGAATGTGGTTGTTGCGATACAGAGCGTGAAGCGCGGGCGCGCAGGGTGATGAAGGAGGAGTAGGGTTTGTCTTCTACGTTTTCGCGGGAGCGCTGTTCGTTTATGAGGATGCCGCGGTCTTTAGCCAACAGTTCAGCATTCACAATATTAATGTTTAGGCCGTCGCTCGAGGTAATGGGCGTGAGCAGTCCCTTAACCAACGCCGCGAAGAGCGGTTTCGTGGTGTTGATCGTGGCGAGCTTGCCTTCGTAGATGAGATCGAAGGTTGTACGAAAAGAACCGGTTTTCGCGGAGGAGTAGTGTTGGGTGTACAGGCTGCCCATCTTCTCGACGAGGCTGATGAAGGGTTGGAGGGTGCGGTATTCGTCGGGGAGGACGATGGGTGCGTTGACGGCTGAGCGGGGGAGTTCGCCGCTGAGGATTGAGACGACTTGTTCGCAGACGTCGATGGACACGTTTTCTTGGGCTTCTTTGGTCGAGGCGCCGAGGTGGGGCGTTGCTACGACTTTTGGGTGCGCGATTAGGCGGGATGCTGATGAGTTTTGCTCGGGAGGTTCGGAGGTGAATACGTCGATACCTGCTCCAGCAATGACACCAGCGTCTAGAGCTTCGATGAGAGCGTCTTCGTCGATCATGCCGCCGCGTGCTACGTTGAGGATGCGGGCTGTTGGCTTCATCGTCTCTAGTTCGGCCTTGCCGATCATGCCTTTAGTCGAGGCTATCAACGGAGTATGTAGAGTCAGGAAGTCGGCCTCTTTCAGGATCTCAGCTAGACTTGGGCGGAGGGCTACTGACGCTGCTGCAGCCAGGTTCGGGTTTGCATAGGGGTCGTAGGCTATCAGACGCATGCCCAGACCATTGGCAATACGAGCCACTGTGAGACCGACTTGGAGATTGTTAGCCAGCTCTTATGATTGTCAAGCATTAAACTCACCTTTTCCCAGGCCGACAATGGCCAGAGTCTTGCCTTTTGCCTCCACACCCACCAGTCGACTTCGCTCCCATTTCCCAGCTTTGATACTTTGAGATGCATCTCCGATATTGCGAGCCACAGCCATCATCACTGTCGCATGTTAGTTAACGTAAGAATGACCTTGCTTGGGCTACCTACGCGCAATGGTGTGTTCCGCAGCAGCATTGATGTTTCCAGAAGGTGAGTTCACCACAATGATACCTTGTGTAGTCGCGAATTGAACGTCAACATTGTCAACACCGACTCCAGCACGTGCAACGACTTTCATGTTTCTAGCGCGACTCATAAGCTCTGCCGTCACCTTCGTCTCCGACCGTACGATGAGGGCGTCATATTCGCCGATGATTTCCTCAAGCTCTTCTGGACTCAGTCCTTTCTTCTCATCTACATCGAATTGGTCTTTCAGTAATGCCAGTCCATCTGGTGAGACCTTTTCTGGTATCAAGATCTTCCGTCTCGCTGTGTGCATGAGAATAGCCATGTTGACGGGTATCGGTTTGAGTTGTTCTTTCGGGCACTTGGTAGACTTGAGTAACTAAATATGAAAGAGTTTTAATGGCTGATCAAGGGTATGTGTCGGTTATGGCGTCCACTGTAAGTTTACGTGAGACTGTATGAGATGTAAGCGCAAAGCCTACAGGAGGAGTACACTCCATTTTGTACACCCAGAGTAAGACTGTGCCGCTATCGGTCTACTGCAGTAGCATGCGTCAGAGGGATGTCCTTGTGGTAGCCTTACCTGTTGGCTAGGTTTACCCCGCACTCCTTCTACCCCACGGGGTGAGCGCCGCTGCTGCAGGGTCAATTTGGCGAAGTACCTAGGTATCGAACAACGCTCTCGGAACTTTGCATAGACGATGTTAGAAATGTTCATGAGAGATACCGTTGAAAGAAAATCGATGTAATGTAGAACGTGTTCCATTATTCAGTTGTTGTTGTAGTACCGCGAGCGCTCGCGTCCGTCATGGTACTATACTGTGCATATGTTGCGCAGCGTGGGTAGCCACATATGGTGTGATCTTCAACGATTGGAGGCTGAATTGCTGTAGAGTGGGATATGCACATCACGCGGGTAGTCGGCGCAGCCCGTTTACCAATTGCTACGTGTCTTGAGCTTCTCGTTCTGCACTACCTCGATCCAGTAACCATCGGGATCTGCGGATTCTGTCAGTTGTCGCTTCGTGCGATGGATAGATAACCATTTACCTAGTACGAAAGCAATGTTCTTCATGCGTCCGTCAGTAAGCCTCTTCTTCCAGTTGACCTTCTTCTCTTCGAACCGAGCACACGCGGCGTCGAGGTCGTCGACAGCAATGCAGATGTGGCCGAATCCTTGGGGCTCATCGTTGCCGTTGTGGTACTTGAAGTTTGCGTCTTTCTCGGTTCCGTAGTTATAGGTCAGCTCAAGCAGGCCTTCGGTGTTTGCTACCGGGTTGACGCCGTTTGCGGTGTTTTCGGATGCATCGGGACCGTATCCGAGGAAATATAGGTTGAAGCCAGCACTTTCATTCTCAGACGTGCGCTTAAGTTTCATGCCCATGACGTCTTGGTAGAAGTTAAGTGAGGCCTCCTTGTCCTTGACACGGATCATGGTGTGGTTCTGCAATCATCAGTATACCAACGTGATGTCTTCCTAACGCTACTTACCATGCGGTACGAGCCTGTATCGGTGTCCTTGACGTTCTCGGTCTCCTCCAGTGGCTTCTGGCCAATGACCTCCACCCAGTAGCCATCAGGGTCGAGCACAAACGCGATGTGGCGCATGCGACCGTCTGTGAGCTTCTTCTGGAACTTGTAACCCGCATCCTCTAGCCTCTGGCAAGCTGCCTGTAGGTTGTCCACCGAGATGCAGAGGTGGCCGAAGCCCTTGTGTGGTTCCGTGTTGCCATTGCTGATCTTGTAATTCGGATCGTCTTCGGTGCCGTAGTTGTGCGTCAACTCGACAATTCCCTCGCGGTCGGTCCAGTGGTTGCCGTGCGAAACGGCCTTCGGGCTATCGTATGCGAGGAAGTAAAGGTCGAACTTGGCGTCGGGGTTCTTGATCTGGTTGATCTGCTTCATTCCAAGGAACTCATAGAATTGGACAGAGCGCTTCGGATCCTTGATCCGGATCCTAGCAGATGTGAGCAACTAGCCAATGGTATGGGGATGGCGCAATAAATGCCATGCGGGTACTCACATGGAGTGGTTGAGCTTGTACTTGGATGGATCTGTCGCCATGGTTGCTAGTGTTCGCAGGAGGAAGCTTGGTGTGTTGTTTGATTTGAGAGGACGAAATGCAGATGATGCGACTACTCGTAATGTTCTTGGTATTGCGAGACGCGTGAAAAGCATTGATTGAGCTCTCTAGCAGTGTCTCAGCGCAATTGAGGGGAAACAGATTCTAAGGCCGATGACGTCTGCGATCCAATGAAGAGCTGCCAATTGCCCCTCACCCGGCATTTGCTCGGAGATCAGCCCGGTAGGTTACAAACATCTCGAATGCGTGCGAACGACGAATCGTCCTATGACGTCGATGTCAAACATGAGCACTATCTACCCAGATCTAGAGATGTCACCAGGTCGATATATCGTTGTAAGGCGCGTGTCATCCAAGAACATCGTCGTGTCGCGTGCGCGCGGGCCCATCCCTTCGGATCACACTCCACCCGTGACCCGGCGCAAGTATGTACCCTTCGTCTGAGTCCCGTTGTGGTGTGTAGATACACGAAACCTGGGTAGCATCTCCAAGCAATGCATAGTGCTAGGCTGCAACAATACAAGCTCTTCATAGTATGAGCGCGAGAGCACGTGCGGCGGAAAACAAGGCTCCGGCCAGCCCAGGTGGTCATAGCTCTCTCTCCTGGGGAACTTCGTCTTGAACATCGTCATGATCAAGATACTGACACGCGCAACTTCTCCCTCGTGATCCCGTCCGTTCCTTCTCGTGTTTTAACGCGTTCCTTACTGTTGCGACGCGTCGCTGGCCGTTGTATCTGCCTTTGGTCTGAGAGAAGGCGCAGATCGGTGAATTAGCAGCACGACAGCGCGGAAGTGGTTGCGCCAACGATTGACCAGGTACGTGGGCTTTCTTTCACGTCACCATCACCAAATCACATCCATTCTTTGCAGCGCGTGGTACTCGCTACCTGCTCACACGTCGCTGAAAGCTTCCCCCGCACAGTCTATTGTTCATTTTTAGTCCTTAACACCTACAGCTTCCCCGTCTAATCATGTCTGCAGATCCCGCAATGATCAACATCGCTAAAGTGAGCGACTGGCTCACGCAGAATGCAAACGAACACATCTACCCAAGACTCTTGTAGGTTCCAAGTACCATACACTGTTATTCCAACTAACTTCAGTAGCTTGATGTCTCCAAATGGCACACTATTAGCGTACTCAAAGCCTGTCCAGACCAAGGAGCTTCGCGATCAGGCTGCCCTAATATCTATGACCTGGAAAGACAACTGCCAAGGACGTCAAAAGCCATCGATCCGCAATGGAGCTACCCAGGACCAGTCGCTGCAACCCGCACTTAGGACACTCACCATCGAGACTCCGGATTGTAATATCATAGTACGCCTATTGCAACCAGAGCTACTGCTCGTTCTCATCGGTAGAATCGCTCCCGGGAAAAAGCAGGGCTTCAAGATTTCGGCCGAGGGACAGGGAGACCCACGCTACCCAGAGGCAGACGACCCAGTTTCACGTCCTGGTTCAAGCAACGAACAGCATTTGACCATCAAAGGCAAAGCGCCCTCATTACTTAGCAACATGAGCCAGCGCGATAGAGATCTCAGGAGCGGCGCGCTTCACGTCCAGCGGAAAAGATTAGACGCCCTGGCTGAGTACGTCTTGCAAGACTTCGGCGACACTGGATTTGTCATGCCAGCAGATGCAGACCTTCAGTAGTACGATGATGCGGCTCGGGACGGGGATGCGTTGCCCCTACCTCACTCTACAGATACCGACTCTGGGGAGACTGATGGTGACGAAGTACTGCACAAGAGATCGCTGGCTTGGTTCAGTTCGCTGACCGCGCTAGTATGAGCCCATTGTGTTACCAGTAAAGAAGCGGACTGTAATAGCGACCTCTCCACGGCCATGTGCTACACTATAGCAAATGATCCTGCTGCCTACTGGCTACATGGGTTTGGCCAGTGCTCGGTACAGCTCGCACGCGAACAAGTACCCGTCAGCTGGCTTTACTGGCGAATGGGTCGCACCGAGTTCGTTTCACTCGCGTGTTCGACAAGGTTCTGAGCCACGTGCGGCATTTTGCAGACTGTTGTTTTGAAGGAGAAGATTTGCGAATATTGCAGGAATATGCGGACTGCAAAGGCGTAATTACGAGAAGAGGGAAGGAAGCATTGGAAACGGCCGTCGTGTATACGCTGCATTTTTGGATACCCAGGAGTCGAATCTGACTTTGTTTACTGTTCACATGGATTCTAGGTGACATTCTCTCGGACTATGACAGCCAACTGTCCGGGCATGCGTTGTCTGGCATGACAGAACGACTCGATTCCCAAAATATCCCGCTCAGCAGCGATATACCATGGGGTACAGCAGCACGCCCGCCCATATTGCACGTCATCACAAAGACATCCTCAAAGCCAACCTTAGAAGCAAGATGTAGCAGACACAAACCCTCAAAACTTGTATGTGAATCCTTAGCTAACAATGTGGTACGCCTGGCGAAGGGCCACGGGTCTCGGAAACGCCAACGGCCGCCACGAATACCAGCCTCAGCTTGATGCACATTCCATCATACCGGCAATGGCTTCGGAACACCCCTCTTAACACCAGGCTCGCCCAGACCCGGAATAACCAAAGGAGCCCTCCTCTCCATCGGCGTCCTACCAATAGGGAAGAACTTCGTGATCGTGTGATCAGGTCCATATGCCTCTTCGACGAGATACACCGTCACTCTCCACCAAGCGCAGAGGGCGGACAACATCCAAAAGTAGCTCGCAGCCTTCATGCCCATCGTCACCCCACCAGTGAGGCTATCACCCGATGCGCTGGTATCCGCGGTGGTGGTGGGACGACCGTTGAACGCGAACATGCAGCAAGCGATCGTACTGCCGATAGCCAGGGAAAAAAGACAAATGCTGAGGACGACATCACGTGCTGTCGCTGCGAGCGCGCCCGACCAGGTGAAGACACAAAGTATCACGAACCAGGACGCGAGTTCGGGGAAGTGCGTATGCACTTCATGTGGTTCCAACGCACCAGCCGCCTGTCATATCCCTCGTTAGCCCATCATCCCCTACCCTGTTTCAAATCCCCCCATAAACCATCAACACTTACAACAAAAGCATACAAAACCCCAATACTAATCCAAAAACTTCCCCACATGGTATTTATCACCGTCACCAACGTATCCCTCGCTTTGAACCCATATAGTCCTGCGATGAACTGCGCCAGTCCGCCGAACAGTCCTACGAACGGGAAGAAGATGGTTGGCGACTCGGGGTTGCCCCACCAGTTTGCGATGTAGGATGAGGTTATCCATGTTGAGCCTGCGAAGCCGGCGAGACCGAGGGCGGCGGGCGGGGCGATGGGTTGGAGGAAGATTTGGATGCCGGGGGTTTGTTGGAGGGTTTGGTCGACTTTTTGGGGGGAGGAGGCGGCGTGGAGGGCCATTTTGGGGGGCCTTGGGAGGGGAAGATGGGTGTTGGGGTGTATCGCGTTTATTAGGAAAGAATCCAGGTGTGGAAAAGGTGCGACAAGTCATCAAATACCTATTTCATCTTCGAAGAGTAGGCGACCTCATTGCTGTGATGCAATCGCACGCTTAGTGGAGACTGGAGATAGGATCGTGATGTTGTGGTCGTTACGATGTTATGACGATAAGCGCGACACGGTAAAGCGCTCCGCATGCTGATCACGAACATCGCGACTTGTTCGCGTCGGCATCTCTCTTCCGCGTGGAGGTTTTGACATCACCGCAGCATTGGAAAGCCATTCTTATTCGTCGAATTATGGGACAAAACTTACATGCGACTCAGATGGGCATTATGGCGATCGTGATCACTGGGGAGATCAAGGATCGTCCATGAGTATTGCCAACTACGGTAGTTCGCATCGATGTGGAGCGGTGTTGCTTGGTGAGGCTTATCTTGAAGGTGCATGAGTCTATTCGACATAGTCATACAGTAACTGGAACGATGAGATCATCCGAGGCCAGTGCAGATAGTGTAAAAGCCTGAAGAGATTCCAAAAGATTGCGCGCGACTACGTAGAAACGAAAAATACCAAGAACGGCCAATACGGTCTCCTATCGAAGAAAAGGTATCAGGATCAACCGGGATCCGAAAGCGGGTGTATCAAACACGAAAGAGGCCTTTTGAGATGCTCGATGCCGATGCAAAATCCTCCAGATAACACGCTGCACGCGCGCAGTGATTTCAACATCCCCAAGCGTGTTCCCAAAGTGATTCAACTCCTCAAGTCAGATCACCGTCTCCATCGTCATCAGTTACAACATTCGTGTCCTCTTCGTCACCCGAACAGTCGTCGTCGGTAGTAATCCACGATTCATCGTCGCTATCTTTCTCCTCTTCGCATTCGTAGTCGGCATCCCTTTCTCGCGCCTCTGCAATCCGAGTTTCGCAATCCAAACCGTCTGGGTCAACTGGAAATGCCCCTGGTATGTGAATAACATCAGAATCTTCGTAGTGTCCATCCTCCGATGTGGCATATGTCGCGGGGGTAATGCTATCGAGGAGAGTTTGGAAAGCAGCCTCTTCGACCTCCCGGGACATCTTACCCCTCGGCAGATACTTGTTGCAGCGCCTATCTTCGAAGTGGTACCAGTAGTCTTCCAGTGAGTCCTCGTCCATTGGAAGACCTTCTATACATGCTTTTTCCAGAGTTTGCATAGTCTGCAAATCGCCATAACTGGCCACGAAATGTATGATCGAGTGATGTGAATTCGTCCAACCGTTGAGCCGAGCGCCATGCTGTATGAGTATCTCGAGTGCGGCGTGGTTGTTATACTGCGCAGCGCATATGACTGCAGTCTTGCCGAGAGGATTTCGGGCCTCGATGTTGGCGCCTGCGGACAGCAGATGCTCCAGAACTTCGGGTGCAGAAGTAGAAGCCGCAATTGTGAGAGCGGGATGCCCACTCGGAGCTCCATCCACATCAGCTCCAGCTTTTAGTAAGATGTCCGTTATCGAGACCCGTGGACTAGACACTGCTAGTCCGAGGGCCGTGAATGTGTGTTGAATGACCTGGTTAACGTCTGCGCCGGCTTCCAATATCTTGATGCAAATAGAACGCGAACTAAACTTTGATCTGACGGCATTCCACAAGGGAGTCTTATGATCTTTTGAGACGGCGTGTAGATCCGCGCCAGCTGCTACCAACAAATCAATCGCCTCGGCGTTTCCCAGAATAACAGCCCAGTGTAGCGGGGTCTTGCCCAAAGAGTCTCGAGCTAGCGCAGCGCTTGGCTGAATTCGAAGAAGGTCATTCAAGCTGACGATACTTTCTTTCAGTATCAATCTTGTAGCGGGAGCAAGATCGAGAGTATCTCTAGCATCCACGACATCAGGTCGATTTCGGAAATGTTCGCACAATTGGCCCTTCAGATTTTGTGCGCTGAAGATTTGAGCAGGGGTACTAAGTCTATAAGCTTTTGTAGTCAATTGGTCTCACAAGACTGACAGGCCATCAACAGGCGACGGATAGTTAATGTCCGCTCCCTGGTCCAGCAGCATGGCGTATGTAGGCTCTCCCACTGTACAGTCAATAGCAAGCTTCCGAAATTAGCCCACAATGCGACAAACGCTAATCAAATACTTACAGTGAGAAGAGAGATAGGCTCGCGCTCGAGCTCGCTCAAAAACAGATCGATGCCCCTTATCCTATGTTGCTCCATGACATGCTGAACCTCAGTGGTCGTACCATAAAACAGGGCATCTGTCAAATCCGTATACACGTTGTCGTCTGTAAAGATTCGCGGTATATTAAGACTCCAGGTGCCCCCTACGCCACTCAGTGACTGCCAAGATGCAGCGATTTCGATTCCTATCGGCAGTAGCCAAGTAGGGAAAAAGTATCGAAAATGCAATGCTCCTGTCCCATTAGACTCTTGGAAGCAGTGGCCGTAGTTGCATGTCCGGCGGTTGAGTAAAGGTACCGAGGTGAATTTGAAGAATGCGGCACCTATCAGTCCCCGTAGCCATCTCGGGGTAGTACCCTGGCATGGTATATGGCAGTCGCAAGGACATGATGACCTGCAAATTCGACTCGTCGCAGTTTTTATGGTTTCGATCTTGACATAAGATGTGATCTCGATCTGCTGGTCGACCAGGGTATCATCAGTGGTTGATGAGATTGAGCTCATGCAAGCCGCTTTCTCCATGGCATAAGGCAGATCGATCGCATTTCCGTGTACCATTGATTCTGAACACATGTCTTCCCCGTGAACGATAGTGACATCTTGAATGACAGTGGAGAGTCTAGTCGTTGTTCTTCTAGACGCGCAATGTTAGCTAGCTAGCCTGTGAACAATGCCTGGTTTAGCTCTCGCGATCCTGACATGCAACGTCAACGACGCGTCTCAACTCACAAATTTGTCGCACTCATTGCCAGTACAAAGCTGAGTTTCAACGAAGCTAGCTCCTGCTGGAACGAGTCGATCTGACCTTGCGCTTGACCTCTCCCCAATACTTCCATCCACTTCACACGCCTCTTCAACTCAGTGACCTTATGATCGCCGATCGCTCCTTCTCGCTCACGCAGGACATTTCTCCGTAAGTGTTTCGTGAAGGCGTCGATACGACCCATGGCCCGATCCGAAAGTCTATTGAATTCGATCTCATATTCTAACGGAAGCTGGTGCTGGGTTTCCTCAAATGCCGTCTTCACCAAAGCAATGACAGCCTTGAAGTCGGTAACTTCGTTGATCGCTCCAAGAACGTGAAGTGGAATGCCGCGGAGGCCCAACACTCGTTCGAGGAGGGAGGCGGCATGGCTCGCTGCGCTGATGAGGGTGATGATGCTGGCCACTAGGCCTATGGCTTCCATTGTGAGTTTTTGAATGCAGAATATCAATCTAGCGCTTTCGTGTCATCTCAGTGAACTCGATAGAAGCGATATAGCGAGATATGAAGAGATCATGATGGAGGCGCAGTGCTGTGTTAATGTTATTTGTACGACACCAAGTGCGTGCAGGAGGTATACACAGCCCACCTGCTGTCATACCAATCCTGCGAGGGGTTGCAACGCCGCGCGCCTACAGTCTGGCATTGGATCAATATGCGCGCGGGCGGGTCATGCATCTAGCCATTCATACTCAGCCTTGTGTAGTGTAATACGGACGCACTGAGTATACGGTGGGACGGGAATTTGCCAGTTGTTGCGTGAAGGACAGCGGAAGCCAAGATGAGACGGTGTTGTTGATCAGATCTCCGAGAGCCGTGATTTCCCCGCCATCACGTGCGCAGATTCTTGGCGTGTCGAGCACGCAATTCGCGCTAGGGCCAAATTCTCGTCGCGTCAAGGCGACATTCCGCGCATTTGCAATCTATCGCCCGAAAGACGTGCTAGAGCATCTCGACAGAGCCAATCATGGTGTCTGTGAAGGATTGCGTCTTGCTCGGTCGGTCTTCTGCCGATGTCGCTACTGGACGACGGCACTTTTTGGCTGCTACGAGGCGGCAAACCCACGACACGGATATACTCCCACGGTGAAGCATCCGGAGAGTCGTAGCACCCCCCCCCCTCTCTCATATACCCCAAAGAGAGACTCTCACTGCCTTCCCTGAAAGGCTGAGTTGCTGAGGCGCATACTTGTATTCAAGATGCATTTCCAACAGACTGAGTCCGCCGGCCCTGGGGCTGAGCAGAACGCACCCAAGGACTTCTCCAAGAAGTCTTCCAGTCTACCGTTTGGTCAGGACCTCTCCTACCAATCTATCGGTGGCCCCACCTACCTCACGGCCCAAACTCTCGTCCAACAGGTCGCATACGCCCTCTCGGATAAGATCTTCGCATACTCGGCTGAGTCGTTCGACTTGGACGTCGCAGTCAAGTACTGGCAAGAACAGGGCGAGAAGAATGCTTTCGGATACCAGACTGGTGTCTCCTCTCTGGAGACGAGGACTGGTGCTGGTGCCATCGCATTGGGATACATGTTCTCCAAGGACTATGACTTGAAGAAGCGCCATATTCCCCAGTCCATCGTCGCCTCCTCTTCTACCCTGAACTACCTACGCGCCTCGCTCGACCAGCTATCCGCCCTCTACTCGGTCGCGAACCCTTTGACCGCCCACATCGCCGCAGTCGACTACTCCGCCAACTCCAGCGCTGGCCTTGTCACCGACTATGTCTCGTCCCTCACACTCGCCGAAGACCTGGGCCTTGGTCTCGTCTGCAGCCCGTCTGTCTTCGAGGCCCAGCACATGTCCCTCTTCGCTACCCTCCTCTCGAGCGTTCTCCCCACGATCCACACATACGATGGCATTAGCGTTGGAAGGGAAACAGCCAGGCTGGTTGATACTCTCGACCAGACTAGGCTGCACAATAGCTACGAGGCGGTGCTCAAGGCCGTCTCGGAGGTCGACAAGAAGCACTCTGACACTGCTGGACGCGTTCTGCGCCTGCTCCAGGCCTTCAACGATGAGCTTGGCGAGGACTACAAGCTCTTTGACTACTACGGCCATGAGGCGCCAGAGAGCGTGCTTGTTGTCTTTGGTACCGTGGAGGCTTCCTTGACCGCTCAGGTCGCCAACGCCTTGTCCAAGGATGGCGACAAGGTTGGTGTCGTCAACGTCCGTGTCTACCGTCCGTTCGTTGAGGAGGCTTTCCTTGAGGTACTCCCCAAGAGCACTCGTCGCATTGCTGTTCTTGGTCAGGTCAAGGACGAGGCTGCCGTGCTCGACCCCGCAGAGTACTCCAGGCTCTACTCGGACGTCTTGGCGTCAATTCAATTCGCCTACGACAGGGACGTTGAGGTCACCGATGTCAAGTACTCGCGCGAGCAGGTCTGGACACCCAGCAACTTCCTCGATGCTTTCCGCCAGATCCACGCCGAGAAGGAGGGTGCCGAGGTTCGCTCATACGTCGACATCTTGAACACTGCCGACGTCAAGCAGTACAGCTTCTGGAACCTCGACGAATCATCTGCCGCCAATGCCCCAGTTGTAGTTGGCAAGCTTCTCTCGAGTGACTCTTCCAAGAACGTCTTCGTTCGCAGCGGCCACGACAATCTCGTGCAGGGCGGTGTTACTCGCACCGACATCCGTAATGCCGACTACACCATCGAAGCGCCTTATGCTGTTGAGCAAGCCGATGTCGCTTTCGTCGGCGACATTGCTATCCTGAAGGAGTTTGACGTCCTGAACAGCGTCAAGCCTGACAGCTCCATCATCGTCAAGCTGCCCGGCGTGAAGAACGAGGACATTGAGAAGAAGCTCTCGCCTGCTTTCCGCAAGGCCCTCGTGGACAAGGACATTCAGCTCTTCGTCCTCGACCCTGCTTCATCTGAGGCTGTCGCTGAAGATGAATCTCTAGAGTCTTACCTCACCCAGCTCGCCTTCTTGAAGGTTGCTCGTGAGGACTTGCTCTCCTCTGGCCTGAGCAAGCTTGCTGCTATCAACGGTAGCTCAGAAGTCTTCGAAAAGCTCACCCAGCAGCTCGAAAGCGCTCTTCGTGAAGTCGAAGTCCCCGCTGCTTGGGGCACTGTTGAGGAAGATGTTGAGCCCATTCGCCTCCCCTCAGACATCAACGTCAACAGCTTCGCTCCTTTCGACCGCATTGAGACCGAGCCACCGACGCTGCTCAAGGACTGGCAAGTCGCAGCCAAGGGCTTTGCCTTTAAGGAGGCCTTCGGCACTGCGAACCAAGTTCGTCCCGATCTTGGCTTCAAGACCAGTATTGTTCACGTCAAGGAGCGTCGCCGCCTTACACCGCAGAACTACGACCGTAACATCTTCCACATCGAGTTCGATCTCGGTGACTCTGGCGTTACTTACGCCATTGGCGAGGCTCTCGGCATCCACGCAGAGAACGACGAGGCGCAAGTTGAAGAGTTCATCAAGTGGTATGGTCTCAACCCCAATGAGATCGTTGAGGTCCCGTCTCGTGACGACCCCAACGTTCTGGTCAACCGCACCGTCTACCAGTCTCTCATGCAAAACGTCGACATCTTCGGTCGCCCACCAAAGCGCTTCTACGAGTCGCTTGCTGAGTTCGCTGATGACGAGCGTGAGAAGCGCGAGCTTCTGCAGCTTCTGAGTGCTGAGGGTGCCACTGAGTTCAAGCGCCGTGCTGAGGTTGACACTGTCACCTACGCCGACATCCTCCTTGAGTTCCCGTCTGCACACCCAAGCTTCCACGACATAGTTCGTATCGTCAACCCAATGAAGCGCCGCGAATACTCCATCGCCTCCGCACAGCACGTAACACCCAACTCCGTTTCTCTGCTCATCGTCACTGTCAACTGGGTCGACCCCAAGGGCCGTGACCGTTTCGGTCAGGCAACTCGCTACCTCAACAGCCTGAAGGTTGGCGCGCCTGTCACCGTTTCCGTCAAGCCATCTGTCATGAAGCTTCCTACCAAGACCACCGCGCCCATCATCATGGCTGGTCTCGGAACTGGTCTCGCGCCTTTCCGTGCCTTTGTCCAGGAGCGCGCCTACCAGAAGCAGCAGGGTCACGAGATTGGTGAAGTCCTACTTTACATGGGCGCTCGTCACCAGCGTGAAGAGTACCTCTACGGCGAGGAATGGGAGGCATATCAAGACGCCGGTATCATCACCCTCCTCGGCCGCGCCTTCTCCCGTGACCAGCCTCAGAAGATCTACATCCAGGACCGCATGAGGGAGTCCCTGAAGGACATCCGCAGGTCGTACCTCGAGAAGGAGGGTAGCTTCTACCTCTGTGGACCGACATGGCCTGTACCTGATGTCACCGAGGTGCTTCAGGAGGCTGTCGAAGTCGAGCACAAGGTTAAGAATGTTGGCGCAAAGAAGATTGATGGACGCAAGGAGATTGACAAGCTGAAGGATGATGGCCGTTACGTACTTGAGGTCTACTAGGCGACCGGCTGATACGAGATAGTTCCATGAGATAGATCCTTGATATTCCATTATTATTCCAGGGCCTAGTGCCGATTACCGGAAACTCTCTCGCGATACATCAAACACTATTCGTGACATTTCGAGTGCTTCACGGCCTCGTCGTCAGCTGAAATAGGGAAATTAATTAGTGTTCACTGACCATGCAGCTCCAATAATTCACCCAAGGGAAGTCAAAACCGTTGCCAAAAGTACCTTCGCCAAACTCTACTTCTTCGACATGCTCGCCAGGCTCGCCTGCTTGGCACGAAGGTGTGCAAGTTTGAGCTCCGCCTCAGCGACGGCCACCGCCGCCTTGATACTCTCCTGGTCTTCGGCCGTGGCTCCTTCGTGACCGAAAACTCCTGGATCACCGAAGTTGTCGACCTGCTCGCCGTCAAGGCCGGGCGACTCTCGCTTGATCGTGGAGGTGTCGCGACCTGCGCGCGCAGGATTTGGGTTACCGGGCGGATGGGCCATCGGCGGTGGTTGGCGAGAGAAAGGCGGGAAGGGAGATGGATGAGATGGTTGGCGGCCTTGATTGGGAAACGGGGGCTGGCCGTACGGTGGATAAGCGTAGCCTGGATAACCACCATATCCACCGAACCCACTACCCGGCGGAGGCATCATCATCGGACGACCCCAATGGTCAACGGGCGGCTGCCCGTAGTAACCACCATACATACCAGGGGGCGGCGGAGGTTGAGGGGGTGGCGGCGACTCCTCCTTGACGGCTTCTTTCTTGGGTGTCTTGTGCTTCTTACCGCGAGGCGTCGACGAAGGGGACTGGTGGTGACCACCCATCACCCGGTGACCCTCTGAAGCACCTCCACCGAACTTCTGCTTCACGTCCTCATCCGACTCCGAATCAGACCCCCCAGAACTGTCCTGACCGCCATCACCCCCCTCCTCCCCATCATCCTCCTCCTCACTAACCTTCATAATCCTATCCACATCCTCTTCAGTCTG